TGATCCGAACAATCAATGTTGCAATGCAGCCCCAAACATACATCATCATCATCATTCCATGGTGTGAAGGGGCCTGGCGCTCACACAGGAGAATGCGCCAGTCCCCAACCATACACAGACGAAGAAGAGGGGGGTTAGACGAAGAAGAGGGGAAGATGGGAATGTCGTCAACACCAAGTCTTCGGCACAGGCCCCAAATAATCCCTCGTCAAATGTCTGAATCCCAATGTCGAGTCTGGATCCAATGTCGTCAAGTCCCAAAATCACAACTCTCTCTCTCTCTCTCTCTCTCTCTCTCTCTCTCTCTCTCTCTCTCTCTCTCTCTCATAGTCCGCAGATACTGAGAAGTCAGGTAGCGAGAGGGTGAAGAAGAGATGGTGGACTTAGAAGAGGAAGAAAAAGAACTCTCTCTCTCTCTCTCTCAGTCTGGTACTAACCTGTGAAGTTGGCGCCTTGATGCAGGTACCTCGAAGATGAAGCTGGAGCTAGGGCGCCACAGGTGAGTCCCCCTGGCCTCCACCAGTCATCTCTCTCTCCAATGCTACTCTACTACTACCAGCGCCCAGCGCTGAAGACTACTACTACAGCTACTAGCACCCAGCGCTGAAGACTACTGCTAGCGCTAGCGCTACTCCTGCAGCGCTCCTCGAGAGTGCTGCTGCCGAATCCTGAAGACTACTCCTGCCTTCTGCCTATCCGTGAAGTGCATGGGAACTCCCTATGTACCACCTCGGTCTGCCTCCTGACTGCCTCCCACTGCCCGCAGCTGCAGGGCGGGGCAGTCCAGGAGGCTGCTCTTGCCAATGCCAAAGTGAGCCAGGGCCTGGCGCTGCAGCTCTTGCTGAGGTTGTCGTGGGAACAGGCCAAAAATAGCCTGTTCCTAAAACCCTGGTTTGGTGCGTGAGTGTCAGGGCCGGTCGATCTTATGAGGGCCCGAAAGTGGCCCTCCATTTCAGGCTGAAAAGACTCAGGGTCTGGACGGCCCTGTTTTAGGTTGAAACGACGTAGGGCCTGCAGGCCCTCGTTTTCAGGCTTTCAGGCTGAAACGACACAGGGCCTGTAAGCGCTTATTTTCAGGCTTTTAGGCTGTGAACGTTGGTCGGGCCCTGCACGCCCGTGTGGCTACGCAGTATGCTACACCCCCCCCTCCTTGAAAGACCGAGCTTACCTGCGAGGGCGAAGCTGTCTATCGGAGGGAAGGACCACAGTCCGGGTGGGAGGGGCAGGTCGTGATGTTCCCTTGGCTAACCTTTGTCGCTCATAGTGAGTGTAGATTAGTGGTGCAGATGTTTTCAAATCTGCTCCTGAAATCCATTGAGTGTTGTCGGGATCGCATGATTTGAATGTAACCTTGTACTGTTGAGGCTTGCTGCCGTACTTGCGATCCGTGATGACGCGGTCACCTTCCTGATGACCATCCATAGATGGAGGGTCTTGCGATCTTCGGCCCGGGAAGTCGTCGCTCTTAGCTGGTATATATGTCGCCAGCTTCGAGGCGTGAAAGACTGGATGGACCATCAAATGCGGGGGGATGTTGATCACAAATGAGGGGCCATCGGGCTCATCGCCCGCGGCTGATGTTGCAGGCCATGGTCCAAACCACTTGGGAAGCAGTTTGTGTAAAACATCCAGCTCGAGCACAAACTCTTCCGCAAAGACCCACACCAGATCACCGGGCGGATGGGACATGGCACGCGACGCCTTTTGGCTTGCTGCTGCATGCGGACTTGAGCCTTTTGCATGTTCGCGCGGGCTTGAGCCAGCAATTCCCTGAACTTCCGGACGGAAGCGGGGGAGCAAGCAGCGTCTATGTTGTTTGTGGGAGGAGAAGATCAGCGAAGATACGGCCTTTCCGGCCACCGTGGTGCAACTCGAATGGAGTCACGCTGATTGTCGGATGCAACGAAGTGTTGTACGCGAATTCGATGTCGGGGAGCCGGTCAACCCAATCCTTCTCATCTGGACGGATGAGCGTACGAAGCATCATTTGAGCGGTTTGATGTTCCCGCTCCGTTTGCCCGTCCGTTTGTGGATACCGAGCCGAACTTGGTTTCATCTTCATGTCGGATTCCTGCATGAGAGAAGTCCAAAATGCCGACATGAAGCGAGTGTCGCGGTCACTGACGATGTCTTCCGGTACGCCGTGGCTGCAAATCCATCCGGTGTGTAAGAGGCGCAC